AAACCACACTTGGTAAAATATATATACAGTCAGTCACTTACTCAAAACCACACTTGGTAATATATATACAGTCAGTCACTTACTCAAAACCACACTTGGTAATATATATACAGTCAGTCACTTACTCAAAACCACACTTGGTAATATATATATACAGTCAGTCACTTACTCAAAACCACATTTGGTAATATATATACAGTCAGTCACTTACTCAAAACCACACTTGGTAAAATATATACAGTCAGTCACTTACTCAAAACCACACTTGGTAATATATATATGATATCTGGAATAATCAATTCATGTTTTTGATTATTTAGAGACAACTAATTATATTAAAAAGATGATACAAATCCACACGAAACTCCAGTCTCCACCTTTTTTAGTTTTTTTTCTAATAAACTTAAGTGTTCAGATAACTATAAATTTGGATATTTATAAATCTATTCTTAGTTAGATTTTGAGCTGATGTTTGTTTGTTTTCCAGCCACTGTTTGTTTGTGTTTTTATATTCATGTTTATGTAAAGAGCTTGAGATGTAAACTCAACCAGGAAAGCTTTTAGTGTTGTTTTTGTATATATAACACACTTACGATGAGCCAGAAAGTTTAATGTTTAGTAGATAACGTTGTTCGATTAACAATCAATATAATGTTGTCCTTCAATTAGTTTCACATGAGGCGACTCGAGCAGCTTTGCGTACAGTACCTAGAATCAGCTGTCAATCACAGAAATGTTCTTGTGGCCCTGCAGAATGCATCAGATCTTAAATTGGACTTCATCAAGGTTAGTATTCTTTGCTTGATCAGTCAGGTTGTGGAGTTGTTACTTGGTTTTACCTAGAATCAGCTGTCAATCACAGAAATGTTCTTGTGGCCCTGCAGAATACATCAGATCTTAAATTGGACTTCATCAAGGTTAGTATTCTTTGCTTGATCAGTCAGGTTGTGGAGTTGTTTCTTGGTTTTACCTAGAATCAGCTGTCAATCACAGAAATGTTCTTGTGGCCCTGCAGAATGCGTCAGATCTTAAATTGGACTTCATCAAGGTTAGTATTCTTTGCTTGATCAGTCAGGTTGTGGAGTTGTTTATTGGTTTTACCAAACACGTTAACAATATATGTATAGTCATTGTTGTATTGTCATATTGTTTGTCACCTGCTTGGAAGTTTATTGTTTCCTCTGAACTACTAATGTGAATTCTTGCTGTACAAACGTGAATATGGAGACTTGTTTGGCTATGTCACGAAATTTAACCTGTCATTTTCTAGTCATGTTGTCATGCTTTGCCCAACAGTACAGTTGTAGTCTCCTGTACAATTTAGCTTCTTTTTTTATGAAGATACTAATTAAATGTTTGTTTTTAACATGTTTGTACAGTCCAGCTAGTGTTGCGCTAACAATAAATGTTAAGCAAGCTGTTTGTGGTTCCTTGAGTATGTACCCGAGCCGTATGTGGTTCATTGAATTAGACAAACTGATAGGTTTAATTAATAATATATTTTTAAATCAATAATTTAAAGAATAAAATAAACAAAAGTTATACATTTGTTTAATAAAATATATTAAATTTCAAATTTGATTAGACCTGGTCTCGTCTCTCACGTGAGGCTTCAAGCTTGCACTGGTTGAACGAACTAAACTTATAAGCATGTCTTTGTGAAATGGACAAAAATGTATTGTAATAAAGAAATATTATTGTGTATATTGTCTTTTAATAGAGTTTATTGAGAAAATGCACACCTTTATGGAGATAAAGAGCTTATCCTCCGAATAATTCATTTTTAGAGTAGGCAGCTGTGTTTTTATACAAAGTTTGAAACCCTTGGATATATATTTCAACTCTTTGAGAAGATGGTAAACGCCAGACACCTGGTGTTTAGATCCTGCACTAGTCAAAATATTGCAAGTCAGACGTCAGTCACAAACTGACATTTGTTACCTCATTGTTGAAGCACCCTTGGGGAAAAACTCTGTAAACCCTAAAAACCTAGTGCTTAGATCCTGCACTAGTCAAAATATTGCAAGTCAGACCTCAGTCACAAACTGAGATTTGTTACCTGATTGTTGAAGCACCCTTGGGGAAAACTATGTAAACCCTAAAAACCTGGTGCTTAGATCCTGCACTAGTCAAAATACTGCAAGTCAGACCTCAGTCACAAACTGACATTTGTTACCTGATAGTTGAAGCACCCTTGGGGAAAACTCTGTAAACCCTAAAACCCTGGTGTTTAGATCCTGCACTAGTCAAAATACTGCAAGTCAGACCTCAGTCACAAACTGAGATTTGTTACCTAATAGTTGAAGCACTCTTGGGGAAAGCTATGTAAACCCTAGACACCTGGTGTTTAGATCCTGCACTAGTCAAAATATTGCAAGTCAGACCTCAGTCACAAACTGACATTTGTTACCTAATTGTTGAAGCACCCTTGGGGAAAACTCTGTAAACCCTAAAAACCTGGTGTTTAGACCCTGCACTAGTCAAAACTGAGATTTGTTTCCTGATAGTTGGAGCATAACACTGTATAAACTGTTTTGTTCATATTGTTTTATGAAATACATATACATGATTTTTTATTATAGAAATATTGCTAAAAAAGGTTTGACACTGCTGTTATATCGTAACCACATATTATTTAATAAATAAGCTACTGTGTTCAAAACTAATTAACTTAAAAATTGAGAAGTATACAATATTGTCATTAGTTTATTTAGCATTTTATCATGCATGTCGTGCTAGAAAAATTATGGTTGCCAGCTACGATGCTATATATCCTTTAAAAGGACTTACATTAAAACGTTTTAATGAAAGTTTTAAGTGATGTAACTTCTTTGTTTAATTTTTCATTTATTATCTGATTATTTTCCAAAGTTATGAAATTAAATTCCAAACTAACCAACTTGGTTATCATGCCCATTAAAGGTCTAATGAAAATGGTTCTTTGATTCTGTTTTTATGTTTTAAAAAACCAATTGCCAACTAGAGTATTTTTATCTTCTCAGGTTACAGATGATTTTTTTCATGTTTTATTATTTTGTGTGTGTGTTTAGTGTTGCAGTACCTAGCAATGCTTTAAACATGGGGATAAAGATTTTTCATGTTTGTTCAATAAAATGGGTCTAGTGCAGAATTTTTCCTTATGTTTTTTTAATTTGTAAAAGATGAATAATGAGGCTTATATCAACTGATGAGTTAAAATATTTAATGCATGTATTATGTTAGTATTTTTATAAAGATGGATATAATATTATAGTGACATTTAGCGGCAACAAAGTATCACGTTATATAATATAAAAAACTTACAGGTAAACAAAAGCTAATACGCATTTGAGTGAACTAGAAGTACTTGCTGAGTTGACATAACACATGTTTGATTTTATATTCTAGGAATTCTGCCTCAAGTTTATTGTAAAGGAGAGTAATTACAACCAGATCGTGATGAGTAAAGAGTTTGAAACTATTGCGCAGCCTCTCATGGTGGAAATTATACGACGGCGACAAGTGCCCGCTGTTCGACCTTTAACCGAACCGCAGTGCGACTTGGCAGGTATTGTCCAGTCGAACATGTAATTAAACTACAGTTTATAAGCCTAGAGTTCTGGGTTGGATCCCCACAGCAGACAAGAGTGCATGTGGCACACTGTGCAGCTTTTTAAAAAATTATGCTTGTTTCTAGTCCTAAAGTGTACCCACCTTCCACGAGTTTGGATGGTGAAGTATCTTTTTCCAACGCGACTTTTATTTTACATTTAGTCTTGCTTGTCAACCAAACTTTTGACATGAAGGAGAAAGGATTGAGTTTTGCATGTTCAATACATAAACAGATATCGTGTAATAAGAAGTGTATATTTGAGTTGTTTTGGTACCGTAGTAAGAAAAGTACTTTAGATTTACGCAAAACAAAACAACCACACTGCTTAAAAGAAAGTTACGAACTTGGTGTTGTTTTTATATTTGAACCAGTTAGAGATTTTTTTTGAACATAGAAATATTTATATAGAATGATAAATTTGTTTATTTTTTTACATGATATTAATGTTAAAAAAATTGCCGAAGCACGATTATAATAAACAAAATTTTTAATGGGTCTTGTAAGTCCTCTTCAATCACCAATAAAGCAACCTAAAATAATTTAGGTATTTTTAATCATGTTATTTAAATATCTAAATTATTTTAGACTGCTTTATTAGTGATTGAAAAGGCCTTAAAAACCCCTTTAATATTGTATATAAATCACTGTTATAAGAGGCCTAACTTTATTTCTTTGATTTGCCAGCCCAAGCTGTGTTGATGAGCCTTCAATAGGTGAAACTGCAGTCCACAGCAAAGGGTACGGCCAATCGTTAGGCCTCTGCGTCACAGATTCTCCTTTCAATTTTACCTTTGGTGAAATTAAAAATAAATCTGTAACGTATATATGTATGTAATCGTTAAACTAATTTTTTTGTTTATTAATAGAGCAATGAGAGACCTCTACAAACAATTTATTTAATACACAAAGAAGAATTTTGATATCTTAGAATTAGAATGTAAACCTAAAAAACATGGGTGTACTCATTTCTTTTATTTTTTTGCTTGAGGCGAAAAGGTCAAGCTACTTCCATTTCCTACTCCTCAACTCAAAAATTATATATGTACAGCTCTGGTTAATAAGTAACGAAGATATGGTTATGATACAAAAAAAGTTTTTTTCTGTTTTGAGTACTGAGAAATAATAATATATATTCTGTTTCTAAGACTGTAAACAAGAATAAAATGGACGGTGTTTCAAAATAAATGGAAGATGGAAATTGATATGTGGATTATAAAATCATAGTTTGATATTGTTACGGAGGATATAAAAATGCAGTGTAGCGTTTTAACAGTGGTTTGACATTGTTGTAGAAGACAAACTTCAGTAGTTATTTTAACAGTGGTTTGACATTGTTGTAGGGTACAAACTTCAGTAGTTATTTTAACAGTGGTTTGACATTGTTGTAGAAGACAAACTTCAGTAGTTGTTTAACCAGTAGTTTGACATTGTTGTAGAAGACAAACTTCAGTAGCTGGTTAAACAGTGGTTTGACATTGTTATAGAGGACAAACTTCAGTAGCTGTTTAAACAGTAGTTTGACATTGTTGTACAAGACAAACTTCAGTAGTTGTTTAAACAGTAGTTTGACATTGTTGTAGAGGACAAACTTCAGTAGCTGGTTAAACAGTGGTTTGACATTGTTATAGAGGACAAACTTCAGCAGCTGTTTAAACAGTGGTTTGACATTGTTGTACACGACAAACTTCAGTAGTTGTTTAAACAGTGGTTTGACATTGTTTTGAAGGATTAAAATACTAGCCTTTAATTCTTGCAGGTACAACTTTAGAGCAAGATATGGAAGCATTCCTGAAGGGCACTGGCACAGAATTCTGTGACATCACTTTGATGCTGGATGACCAACCAATCCCGGCTCACAAGGCAATTCTTGCTGCAAGATGTAGCTACTTCGAAGCCATGTTTCGTTCTTTCATGCCTGAAAACAACACTGTCACAGTATGTTATATGGAAACATTTAGTTTTATTTACATAGTTTTATCTTTAAATCATTATATCTTCAAATTCAAGAATAAACCAACCATTATGAACCTAGATGTAGTCTGTTATGTACATGATTTAAACTAATGGTTAATGAGGATGGTTCTTGGAATCTTGCTTAGTTTTGGGCTAAACAAGACCATTAACCAAACCAGATGTAGTCTGCTATTTACATGATTTAAACTAATGATTAATGAGGATGGTTCTTGGAATCTTGCTTAGTTTAGGGCTAAACAAGACCATTAACCAAACCAGATGTAGTCTGCTATTTACATGATTTAAACTAATGATTAATGAGGATGGTTCTTGGAATCTTGCTTAGTTTAGGGTTAAATAAGACTATTAACCAAATCAGATGTAGTCTACTGTATACATGATTTAAACTAATGGTTAATGAGGATGGTTCTTGGAATCTTGCTTAGTTTTGGGCTAAACAAGACCATTAATCAAACCAGATGTAGTCTGCTATGTACATAATTTAAACTAATGGATAATGAGGATGGTTCTTGGAATCTTGATTTGTTTAGGGCTAAACAAGACCATTAACCAAACCAGATGTAGTCTGCTATGCACATGATTTAAACTAATGGTTAATGAGGATGGTTCTTGGAATCTTGATTAGTTTAGGGCTAAACAAGACCATTAACCAAACCAGATGTAGTCTGCTATGTACATGATTTAAACTAATGGTTAATGAGGATGGTTCTTGGAATCTTGATTAGTTTAGGGCTAAACAAGACCATTAACCAAACCAGATGTAGTCTGCTATGTACATGATTTAAACTAATAGTTAATGAGGATGGTTCTTGGAATCTTGCTTAGTTTTGGGCTAAACAAGACCATTAACCAAACCAGATGTAGTCTGTTAAGTACATGATTTAAACTAATGGTTAATGAGGATGGTTCTTGGAATCTTGCTTAGTTCAGGGCTAAACCAACCATTAACCAAACTAGATACAGTATGCTGTGCTCATGTTTTCAGCTGATGGTTAATTTAGGTGTTTAATTTTTCAGATTGCCATTGGTGAAATGATTCCTTCAATGCAGTCTTTCCATACGTTGCTACGGTATATCTACTATGGAGATGTTACCATGCCTCCGGAGGATTCTTTGTATCCTTGCTTTGTTTCAAAATTCAGCTCAACTGTGCAGTTGCTGAAGATCAATATATTTTGATACAAGTGTAGTTTTACTTAGAGCTTGAGGGGATTGCCTTTTTTTTTGTTGTTGTGGTTGTTGATGTGGGAGGGTGTGTGAGAGTTTCCAAGCTATTTGCACATCATTTCAGGCACCATTTTGTTGCAAGAAATGTTATCAATTCTCCCTCTTGGACACATTCTGCGGCACGCTGACCAGTATGTTATCCCACATAATTATTTAAATATAGAATTCTAAACTAGCAAGTTGGTTTGATGAAATGAGTTAAAATACAGTGTGTGAAATACAATTAATAGAAAAAAAACCTCTAGAACTGTTTTTAGTGTACATTTTACATATTTCTCATTGAATTGATTTTGGTGTAAGTTTTACAAATTTCTTTAAAGACTGTTATTAGATGCAACTGTTATTAAATTTGCACAATCAGTTGGGGGGGGGGGTTAAATTCCACTCTGTTCTTCTTACATGATGAATTATTGTGTTGTGGCAAACTTCATTCACCACCAATATTCTGGGTATTTTTTAGTCAATTTTAGTACATTTCGTACTGAAAATAAAGATCATTGTGGAATTAAGTGTGCAAGAAAACCCATGATATAACTAACTGTAAAGTGCAATACCGTGACTAACTGTAATGTGAAATACCGTGACTAACTGTAATGTGATTTAGTGTAACTAACTGTAATGTGGAATACCATGACTAACTGTAATGTGTAATACTGTGACTAACTGTAATGTGCAACACTGTGACTAACTGTAATGTGCAATACTGTGACTAACTGTAATGTGATATAGTGTAACTAACTATAAAGTGCAATACCGTGACTAACTGTAATGTGAAATACCGTGACTAACTGTAAGGTGCTATAGTGTAACTAACTGTAAAGTGCAATACTGTGACTATACTGTGTGATCGTTTGTTCATGAACCTAGATGGGATAATAAAACTTTGTTAGCATCAGTATTAAAGTTATATGATGGTTTGTTATTCTGGGCCCCAAAGTGTTTGATGATACAGCAGTTTTGGAATCAGGTAGTAATGTTACTTGGACATCAGTAATGTTTGGTTATTTAGTGTTCTAAAACTCAATGAGTCGTGTTACTTGGACATCAGTAATGTTTGGTTATTTAGTGGTCTAAAACTCAATGAGTCGTGTTACTTGGACATCAGTAATGTTTGGTTATTTAGTGATTTAAAACTCAATGAGTCGTGTTACTTGGACATCAGTAATGTTTGGTTATTTAGTGATCTAAAACTCAGTGAGTCGTGTTACTTGGACATCAGTAATGTTTGGTTATTTAGTGATCTAAAACTCAGCGAGTAATGTTACTTGGACATCAGTAATTGGTTATTTAGTGATCTAAAACTCAGTGAGTTGTGTTACTTGGACAACAGTTATGTTTGGTTATTTAGTGATCTAAAACTCAGTGAGTTGTGTTACTTGGACAACAGTAATGTTTGGTTATTTAGTGATCTAAAACTCAATGAGTAATGTTACTTGGACATCAGTAATGTTTGGTTATTTAGTGATCTAAAACTCAGTGAGTCGTGTTACTTGGACATCAGTGATGTTTGGTTATTTAGTGATCTAAAACTCAGCGAGTAATGTTACTTGGACATCAGTAATGTTTGGTTATTTAGTGATCTAAAACTCAATGAGTAATGTTACTTGTACAACAGTAATGTTTGGTTATTTAGTGATGTAAAACTCAGCGAGTCGTGTTACTTGGACAACAGTAATGTTTGGTTATTTAGTGATCTAAAACTCAGCGAGTCGTGTTAGTTAAACTTCATTCATCTGGAAGTTGTTGCCTCTAACCATTTAACTTTCAGGTACCTCTTCTCAGCTCCTTACTTCTATGGTTTTACCAACAATAGACTCCAGGTAAGTTTTATTCAAGTGTATATTTTTAATACTGCATTAATAAACATGTTTTCTGGAAGAGTGAGAGTGTTTGTTTTCTAAAACAAACCTGTATTTAGCGATTTAGTGAAAGTAACAGAGGATTGCACAAGAAATGTTGGTTATATTAAAACTGATTATCAGTTGATACAAACAAGAGAACTGTGTTTATTCAATTGGATGTATAAATCATTCATATTAAAATACAGCTGGATGTTAAAACTGTTTATCAGTTGATACAAACAAGGTGTTTATTCAATTGGACGTATAAATCATTCATATTATATACAGTTGAATTTTTTTCTAAACATTTGTTAAAGCTGAATGATGAAGTGATGTCACTACTTTAACATCATGAAGACCAATCTATGTTTTAAGCACAACCACAAAGACATATTACTGAGTATGAGCTCCATTATAAGACAGTAGCAATTAGTATACAGCTAGAAAACTTTTATAATTATATGTTTTAAACATTTCGACTTGAGTAGAGCCGTATTTATGTTATAGGAAGGGTCGTTTAGATAGAAAAAGAAACTATGTTTGGAATTCTCATAAGCTACCGATAGAGAGATGTCTGAGAGTTGTAAGATCACTGTTCCTTCCCACTCTTCTCCGCAAGTCTTACAGACCCTTTCTGGGAGTAACAAAAAATTTCACTAGAGAATCTGATGATTTGTTTACATTGAAATGCTTCATTTGTCTTGTTTCTAGTTGAAGATGATACATAGCATTTATCTATGTAACTTCTTTTATTATGAAATATTTTAGAGAACATAACCTTCGTTCTCATGTTTTGTTTCAGCAACATGACAATGTTCACATAAAAGGCAAAACTTGTCATTAAACTGTTATACCGTATAGAATTCCTGTTTCTGGTGTATGCAGTCCCCTTTTGGTTCAACCATTTTATCATAAGGATAAAAGCAGAAATTCTTTCAAAAAGAATCTGTATTATACTCTCTAAACAAACAAAAAAAATAGTTTTATACTTGCAATCATGCTGCTACGTTAGCTTATGTGAGAGACGGTGGTGAGTCTTCGAACTTACAACGCTATATTCTGAAGTTCGATTCCTCGTGGTGAACACAGCAGATAGCTCAACATGGCTTTGCCCTAAAACAAAGAAACTATTAAATTTTTGCTGTCACAGTCCTTTTAAAAAACGTTAAGTAAACCTTCAGTATAAAGATGTTTAGTGCTACAGGTGACAACTGAATGTGTTCTCATGAGTTCTAGAGACAATCTAGTTGCTGTTTTTATGAATGACTTTATCGTAAATGTAATCTCTTTATCGTTATAAGAAAGAATATAATGAGTCTTCCGTCGATTTGTCTGGAAATAAAGACGCCAAAGCACTTGTTAATTGTTTCACAAACTTGCTGCAATAGGAGAACTGAAAAAGTTAGAGTCGTGATTCTACTCGTGTGTACGTGTCATTTGTAAAGATTGACACAAACTGATAGTCTTGTAACTTTTTATCATATACTTAATCAATACATCTTAGTGATACAAGCCACTTATGGTGTACATTTTTATATTTTATATCTAGGTGTTTTTTGTTGCTGTTTTTTTTTTTCTTAAACTATATTTTATTTCTTGTATATAGGCTTTTTGCAAGCAAAACTTGGAGATGAATGTAACGTTTGAAAACGTAATCCAGGTGAGCATCTCGTAGAGTGGATAGTTGATGGAGTTATCACAGTCCTTAAATTACTGTTACTTAGTTAGATCTTTAAGGTTTATTCATACGTCAGTTCAGTTTCAATAACAACGAATGCTGTTACTTACATAGATCTTTAAGGTTTATTCATACGTCAGTTCAGTTTCAATAACGACGAATGCTGTTACTTAACGTCAGTTCAGTTTCAATAACAACGAATGCTGTTACTTAACGTCAGTTCAGTTTCATTAACAACGAATGCTGTTACTTAACATCAGTTCAGTTTCAATAACAACGAATGCTGTTACTTAACGTCAGTTCAGTTTCAATAACGATGAATGCTATTACTTAACATCAGTTCAGTTTCAATAACGACGAATGCTGTTACTTAGTTAGATCTTTAAGGTTTATTCATACGTCAGTTCAGTTGAAACTGAACTGACGTTAAGTAACAGCATTCGTGTTATTGAAATAACAACGAATGCTGTTACTTAACGTCAGTTCAGCATTCGTTGTTAATGAAACTGTTACTTAGTTAGATCTTTAAGGTTTATTCATACGTCAGTTCAGTTGAAATAACAACGAATGCTGTTACTTAACGTCAGTTCAGTTTCAATAACAACGAATGCTGTTACTTAACGTCAGTTCAGTATCAATAACGAATGCTGTTACTTAACGTCAGTTCAGTATCAATAACTACGAATGCTGTTACTTAGTTTTTACCTTAATACTTTGGATGCTAATCGTGATGTAAACCCACGCTATCATTATGGTTTGTTCGTATCATCTGACAAGTTTTCATGCTATTAGTTACCAATTTTACTTTTATCCTGATTAAGCTTGATTTTATTTGTTGATAAAACCTGTGGAATTTGTATTTGCAAAGCATGTCTGAATGTTTTTATTGTAATTATGATTAGTAGTTTTTATTGTAATTATGATTAGTAGTTTTTAAGGTTATTATGATTAGTAGTTTTCAAAACTACTAATCATAATAACCTTT